TTATCTGCACTACCCGAGAGTTTGTGTCAAGAGTTGGAACCAAAGCACCACAAATGTCAATGTATGAGGTTGACAATTGGTGAAATATTGTTATATATGATATTAATTGCATACACAAGAGAAACTAAACTTCCCATAACAACTTTATTTCTTCGAAGATTGAGAAAAAAACGTAAACAAGGCAACTTGTAATTTGGGAGACTGGGCGCATGTTGCGACCATGGTAATGACCCCGATTCATTTATACCAGCGACAACAAAACTTTGGATAATACTACCAGAACATCTAACGGGGATCGTTACAACATTTAAGAAATTGCCACACGGAAGGGGAAATAGTGGGACATACAAGGATTTAAAGTATGGAAACAGGCTATGTCCAATAATTCAGTCGCCTCAGACTTGGCTGCAGCGATCTTAACACGGATCATTAATGAAAATACATATTTTTTATACGAAAAGTTGTTTCTGTGGATATCATACCGAAGATGCCTTACATTTCATTTTTGTTCGTATAAACTACATGTACTATATTCTTCGAAATGAAATGTATTTTACCAACATGGTTACTCTTTACAAACAGTTCTATACGGAAATAATCGTATTTGAGTAAGGAAGATCAAATTAATGCAAATATTTGATTCTATTCAAAACTTCATATTAAAAACTGACAGATTTTCAATTAAGTAATAACATGATTAATATAAACTGCAAATATGTTTATCATATATACACATATAACTTGGCATGTACATTCGTTGTATACATTCAACCTTCACTGACGTATCAATTATATCATGGATCGGTATTAACATAAGCGATTCTCTTGCTTACCACTCCATTGTCATATTTTTGTGAAAATAAATATGTTTAAATCATCGAGGAACCTCAATGTATGTCAGCAGGTAGGCGGCCTCCGCAAACCCTCTGCCTGTGACTGCTGATAAACGCATGTAGTTGATAAACGCATATTGTCGAGGAACCTTTGGAAGTTATAATTTAGTCAGTCAGTGATGTCTTAGCAAGCTGGCATGCCGCTTTTGATGAAACTTCTTACTAAATGAATATATGCCGCACAAGGAAACTAATACTATTATAAAACTTATATACTGAACAACAAAAGTTCCCATGACATTGAATAAGATTTAATGCAAAGTTATGTTTTTTACCAAATCTGAAACAATTTCGGTTTGCAACAGATAAAAAACTCCTGTAAGTGTTCAAATGGTTTAATTTGCCATACTGACTCCAGAAAATGCGTGATTTCATAACAAATCATGAACATGCCAAAATGTAAATTTACAAATCAATAGCGTGTGTGTCCACCTCTGGTTGCGATGCAAGCAACGCATCTTCGTCTCATGGAATGGACCAGGCGTCGCACAAAGTCCTGTGGGATATCTGTCCATATCTGCTGGAGCATGTTTCGAAGTTCCTGGAGTGTCTGTGGGACACGTGGTTGACGTCGAAAGCGCCGATCCATCTCATCCCACATGTGCACGATTGGTGAGAGATCAGGGGAGCGAGCCGACCAGGGGATGACATTCACGTTGTTTTGTTGAAGGGAAACCTGAACAAGTCGAGCAATATGAGGCCGGGCATTGTCATGCTGAAAGGTAATGCCTGGGCCATGACGACGCAAAAACGGCAGAACAACATGGTCGATGATCTCGTCGCGGTAGGGCTGTCCATTAAGATTTCCCTCTACCACTATCAACCGGGTCCTCTGTCTTGCTGTAATCCCGCCCCTTACCATAACACTGCCGCCCCCGAACCGATCTTCTTCAATGGCACAATGATTCACGTAACGTTCACCTCGACGTCGGTACACTCGAATCCCCCATCGCTGTGGCTGAGGTGAAAACGAGACTCGTCAGTGAATAGAACTTGTCCCCACTGCATGGCCGTCCAGCGCAGGCGCTGTCTGCACCATTGTAGACGTGCTTGACGGTGGTTTCCTATCAAAATGGGACGTCTGGCGGGGCTTCTGGTGGCAATCGCTACACATCTGAGGCGACGACGTACGGTTTGTGAAGGTATTCGTCGAAGGCCAGGGATGTTTCTTGCAGTCACTGTTGCTGGCTGGAATCGATTTCGTAGATGTGTTGTTCGAATCCAGTTGTCTTGTCGATTATTGGTTACAGGTGGCCTGCCACTCCGAGGATGGTCTCTGACTGCATTCGTCTGTTGCCAACGTTGCCATAAACACCAAATGGTGTTTCTGTGGACGTTAAATTGTCTTGCAACATCACGTTGACTCGATCCTGCTTCAAGCATACCAATGGCTCGCAGACACTCATTTTCGGACAGGCGTGGCATTTCGTAATGTTGAATAATTGCGTAATTTTTTTGTTTTTCTGAGTAGTTGTTGTCAGCACGATACAAAACAATGTATATGGAATCCCGTTAACGCACATGTTTTTATACCCATTCTTGGGTTGTGAAATGCATGGGGCTTGCATAAAAGTCAACTTTTGCATGGAATGTATGCTTTTCTGTAGCAGTGACTTGATTCCATACATGTACTACAATACTGAAAACCAAACTTTACTTGTTTGAAAAATACACTAAAATATCGGTGTCACAGGAACTTTTGTTGTTGAGTATATATAAATAAAGTTCAGTGTCAGTAAAACACTAACTGCGACGACCCGTGTCATTGTGTTCCTCCATATATTGCGATTATTTAAGGACACGCCTTAATATACTTTGTGAATATGCGAGGCCATTCTTCAACAATCACTTACGTTATATACACATGAACAAAAGTTAGGCGCCGCCATATTCACAGTCTCTTGATTTCACGTGCGGGAATCAGAAATACGAAATATGATGATGTATGACTGAATTAGGCTTCCATAGTTTCATGAACCCAAATTTGTCTAGATACCACAAGGAAAGTGTGCTTTACGTTTTGCTGCAGTTCCACTACCCTATAAATAGTGAAATTCAAGTTTCAGACACGTGGTTGCATTTTGCTCCTGTGTGAGATTCCCCTTCCAATAGAGGTCGAAAATCAGCCATGGTGAGGAGAAAGTTAACGAACGCTGAAATATGGCAAGTGATAGGCACGAGAAATGCTGGCATGTCATGCAGGGCCATTGCAAGACAAATGGGTCGTCATCACAGTGTTATCACTCGTTTGATTGTCAAACATGGTCAAACCAATGATGTCAATAGCATATGTCTGGTAGGCCAAGAAAGACCTCTAACAGAGAGGATAGCGGCTTTTCAGGATAGTCAGACGGAATCTATTTGCCACTTCAACAGATTTAAGACTGCAGTGGATTACCCATCAGAGACTCTCGACGATGACCGTAAGGCGTCGCCTCAGAGCGGCTGGTTATAACGCCAGAAGCCAGTAAAACGTCCTCAACTGACTGAGAGGCGCATGCGGAATCGTCTGATATGGTGTCGTGCCCGTAGTCCATGGAACTTGGCCAACTGGAGAAGGATCCATTGGTCTGACGAGTGTCGAATGCTGCTACGAACTGTTGATGGTCGAATACGTGTTTGGAGGCAACGTAACACTCGTTTTTCGACAAGGAACATCCAGAAGACCTTAGCATGTGGCGGGGGTGGGGGTGGGATGGGGATGGGGGTGGGGGGATGGGGGGTGTTTAGCTCTGTTATTATATGGGGTTGTGTTTCCTTCGGCTGCAAACTTCCGCTGATGACAATTCGTGGAAACCTGAATGGCCAACAATACCAAGATGCCGTTCGTCGTCCAGTGGTAGTCCCTCTCTTGACAACCATCCTCTTCAGACAAGACCTGTTTACATGGACGACAATGCTAGACCACACATATCTCGGGCAGTTTGGGCTTATTTGCGTCAAGAAGCTATTGCCACTCTTCCTTGGCCGGCCTGTAGTCCGGATCTTAATCCGATTGAGCATCTCTGGGACATTCTTGGCCGGAAAATCAGACATCGTGTCACGGGTCACTAGGGGATGGTCGTAAAAATGATACACTTTTGAGGGGAGGGTCATGAGAAAATGGACATTAAATATTAAAATATAATGGGCTTTTGCATTTAGTCTTTTAAGGGTGAGTCACGAAGAACGCTGTACTAGGTTGGTTGGTTGGTTTGTTGTTTAACGCAGCACTCAGCAATATTCAAGCTACATGACGGCGGTCTGTAAATAATCGAGTCTGGACCAGACAATCCAGTGATCGATATCATGAGCATCGATCCACGCATCAACCAAGTCAGCGAGCCTGACCACCCGATCCCGTTAGTCGCCTTTTACGACAAGCATAGTCGCCCTTTACGGCAAGCATGGGTTGCTGAAGACCTATTCTACCCCGGAATCTTCACGGGTCCGCTGTGCAAGGACATCAGGAGGGTCATCTTTAAACACGACAATAGGGGAGGGTGTCTGTAGTGTATATCATGTGTATCATGTCTGTAGTATGTATCCTGTCCTGTAGTATATTGTTTCTTGTGTTATTGATTAATATGTAGTATATGAGGGATGAGGGGTAGTCTACAAACAGTGATTATTTAAAGCAATGGATCGTCACGCCCAAGACCTAGGTTCTATTCAAGTATCCCGCCAACAGGAAAATTAAAATAATATTTTATGTGGCCGAGTATCTATTGCAATAGTAATGTGCATGCATCTTAGGAAATGTCTTTTTTACGCGGACGTAAAAACTAAATTTATGTTTATGTTCCTGGGGACCGGGGATCAGCACCACAATACTTATAAGTGTACTGCTCGTGTCATCGTGCCCCGACGGCATGGGTTGTTGTTCATGCTATCATTCACCGGTTTTCCTATACTGCCTCAGCTGCTATTATTTACTGGCTGTCATGGCAAATAGGTAGAATATGGTTCACTGCAATGTTAAACAATTGTCAAAGTTCATTTGCCATTTAACTTTTCCCCAGCAGAATCAATTAGACAGCTGTTTTCTTTTAATAGAAAACGTGTGCAAACCGTCATTTCTTCTTCACAAACCGTGTTTCCGTAATTCCCCCGTACAGCATCTCGTGAATCCCGTGCGGCACGTTGAACTTGGACAAACACGAGCGAGTAAGTGAGCTTCCATAATGTGGGGCGAATAAAAGAACATTGGGAACAGGCGATTGTGACGCGAGGACAGGCCTGACGTTTACAGAGGAAACAGTATATTGACATACAGGTATATAACAGTATTGCCAACCTCCATGTTTTTAACAAGAGAGGCCCAAGCAAGGGCGGATCCAGCATTTCTAAATGGGAGGGGTCCAAAATATAAAAATTCCTCTCTCAGATAATTTCACTGCTACTAATACTACATTTGGTTTTCAAAACACACTCCCCCGCCCACACAAACACCCAACCCTGATCCGTCTATGCACAGGTTTGTTTAAAAGTAGGTGTGCATTTTATGATTTGGCAATTAGCCATTAGCCAATGGGCCATTAGCTTTACAGATCACCTGTAGCATTTCCGAATGCATAAATGTTTCGTAGCTTCAAATGTTTAGCAGGCGCATCTTTGCTCCTACCACCTGAACGCCGCGATATACCTGGAATATTGTTAAATGCGGCGTTAAACCCAACTCACTCCTACCACTTGATACACCTAACTCACTCACTCACTCACTCATCATTATCAACTGCAAAATCACGAACTGCAGTTGCCCTCTCGCACCTTTTACAGTCTACTGGTCTTGTGTTCCATTCATGTTTTATTGTATTATTAGTGTATTATTGTATGAATACAATGATATAGACTGTGTCATCGCTATATGGCTGAAATAAATGCCGATGCGACGTTAAATTTAAACTCACTTATTCACGCTATAGATTGTAAAGGTCAAGGTCATTCTTTTCTCTCTCTCTTCAGTGAACCGCCCTATTTATTAATAAGTGCCAACTGATGCAGCCATGTCTTTTTCACAGAAGTACACACACAACGGGAATCCCTATGTTATTCATATATTGTGGAGGGGGCACAGGTGGCCCAGTCGTCTAAGACGCCGCGATTCGCTGTGCAGAGTTGCGACCCCTGGACACGCCAGAAACTTATGATTGTGGGTTCGAATCCCGGTTCGCCCCGATTATGTTTCTAGGTTTGTCAGCACCATACCTGTGCTCGTGGGTTTCACCGAAGTGGTAAACGTCTGAGACCTGCATCACTTCGGGCTTTCCTCCCACATTAAGCTGACACGCCGCGATATAACTGGAATGATGTTAAAAGCGGCATTAAACACAACTCACTCATTCATATATTGTGGATGCTAGGCACCGGTTGATTGACCGGTTGATTGAGCAAGTAAACACTTTCCAAGAAGCATGACGTTGTGACATCACAAACGTATCGCCCCTGGCAGTTATTCACAATTTCTTTGACATTAATTTTTTTTTACATGATGTACAAATTGGTTCTTATAAAGGTCGGGATAATGAATGTTTGGGGAGATTTTTTATGAAATTATGTGCCGTCTTCACGGAAAAGATATATCCCAAAACATTCATATCCCTAACTATTTTTGTTCAGTATATTTCTCCAATTGTAATTACATGAGGCATTGTACACTTGTCTATTTTCTCAGAATACACATATTCACGTTTTCAGTATCGTAAATATGGACGAACTATTACCGACGTGACTTCACTCACGTTGTCATTAATTTTGAACAAATACTTAAAGGTATAATATTGTACATAGATATGCGTGTTTTGAGCGCAGCTACGATCTCCAAGTGTGCCCTACATTATACACGAGGTTTTCAGTAACGCGCCGTCCGGTCCCAAGTTGGACGTCTATTTGTTAGCCACATGAATGATTTTTTGTGGCTTGAGTGAATATGGTAGGACTTGTTGTGATATCACAAAATGGGTCACTTGTCACTACAGGATAAAAAAACCATCACTCGGGGTTACACGTTAACCCTGCCCCGGAGCCATCACGTGAGACAGTAATGTATGTTGAATGTATGTCATGCTTAGGGTCCGTCGACACAACCTTGTCTGAGCCAAAGAGACCGGTTGTGAGATTCAGAAGGTCGGGCGGTTTGTATGCTAGCAGTTACAGTGCTTATATCAGAGATACAATTTTAGGATCTTGGATCTTGCAGTCGGTACAGTTGGCAACAAGGAGCTGCAGTGGACATAGGTAGGTTATTAGGAGTTGCAGGTTTCTAGGATCTTATCACGTCTTGTGTTGCAGGTTTCTAGGATCATATCATGTCTTGTGTTGCAGGTGTCTAGGATCCTATCACGTCTTGTGTTGCAGGTGTCTAGGATCAGATCACGTCTTGTGTTGCAGGTGTCTAGGATCATATCACGTCTTGTGTTGCAGGTGTCTAGGATCATATCACGTCTTGTGTTGCAGGTGTCTAGGATCAGATCACGTCTTGTGTTGCAGGTGTCTAGGATCAGATCACGTCTTGTGTTGCAGGTGTCTAGGATCAGATCACGTCTTGTTGAAGGTTTCTAGGATCAGATCACGTCATGTGTTGCAGGTGTCTAGGATCAGATCACGTCTTGTGTTGCAGGTGTCTAGGATCAGATCACGTCTTGTTGAAGGTTTCTAGGATCAGATCACGTCTTGTGTTGCATGTGTCTAGGATCTTATCACGTCTTGTGTTGCAGGTGTCTAGGATCATATCACGTCTTGTTGCAGGTTTCTAGGATCATATCACGTCTTGTTGCAGGTGTCTAGGATCAGATCACGTCTTGTTGCATGTTTCTAGGATCATATCACGTCTTGTGTTGCATGTGTCTAAGATCAGATCACGTCTTGTTGCAGGTGTCTAGGATCAGATCACGTCTTGTGTTGCAGGTGTCTAGGATCAGATCACGTCTTGTGCTGCAGGTGTGTAGGATCAGATCACGTCTTGTTGAAGGTTTCTAGGATCAGATCACGTCTTGTGTTGCATGTGTCTAGGATCTTATCACGTCTTGTGTTGCAGGTGTCTAGGATCATATCACGTCTTGTTGCAGGTGTCTAGGATCAGATCACGTCTTGTTGCAGGTGTCTAGGATCAGATCACGTCTTGTGTTGCATGTGTCTAAGATCAGATCACGTCTTGTTGCAGGTTTCCAGGATCATATCACGTCTTGTGTTGCAGGTGTCTAGGATCAGATCACGTCTTGTGTTGCATGTGTCTAAGATCAGATCACCTCTTGTTGCAGGTGTCTAGGATCAGATCACGTCTTGTGTTGCAGGTGTCTAGGATCAGATCACGTCTTGTGCTGCAGGTGTCTAGGATCAGATCACGTCTTGTTGAAGGTTTCTAGGATCAGATCACGTCTTGTGTTGCATGTGTCTAGGATCTTATCACGTCTTGTGTTGCAGGTGTCTAGGATCATATCACGTCTTGTTGCAGGTGTCTAGGATCAGATCACGTCTTGTTGCAGGTGTCTAGGATCAGATCACGTCTTGTGTTGCATGTGTCTAAGATCAGATCACGTCTTGTTGCAGGTTTCTAGGATCATATCACGTCTTGTGTTGCAGGTGTCTAGGATCAGATCACGTCTTGTGCTGCAGGTGTCTAGGATCATATCACGTCTTGTGTTGCATGTGTCTAGGATCTTATCACGTCTTGTGTTGCAGGTGTCTAGGATCAGATCACGTCTTGTGCTGCAGGTGTCTAGGATCAGATCACGTCTTGTTGAAGGTTTCTAGGATCAGATCACGTCTTGTGTTGCATGTGTCTAGGATCTTATCACGTCTTGTGTTGCAGGTGTCTAGGATCATATCACGTCTTGTTGCAGGTGTCTAGGATCAGATCACGTCTTGTTGCAGGTGTCTAGGATCAGATCACGTCTTGTGTTGCATGTGTCTAAGATCAGATCACGTCTTGTTGCAGGTTTCTAGGATCATATCACGTCTTGTGCTGCAGGAATCTAGGATCAGATCACGTCTTGTGTTGCAGGTGTCTAGGATCAGATCACGTCTTGTTGCAGGCGCCAAGGATCATATCACGTCTTGTGTTGCATGTGTCTAGGATCATACCACGTCTTGTGTTGCAGGTGTCTAGGATCATATCACGTCTTGTTGCAGGCGCCAAGGATCATATCACGTCTTGTGTTGCAGGTGTCTAGGATAATATCACGTCTTGTGTTGCAGGTGTCTAGGATAATATCACGTCTTGTGTTGCAGGTGTCTAGGATCATATCACGTCTTGTGTTGCAGGTGCCTAAGATCATATCACTAATTGTTGCAGGTTTCCAGGATGTTATCACATCTTATAATGCATGTTTCTAGGATCATATTGCGCAGTGAGGATGGCGGGAACCACTTATACTAACGTCAAAGAAGGAAATACCTTTCTGGACCACATCACAGAGAAAGGGTTGGATAACAAGAGCATTATCAACAGGTTCGACAAAGTCAGTGGCGAGTACAATGAGGTAAAGTGCACGTCACCGACTAGTACTTTGAGCGGCACGAACAAGTATCTTCGGTATGGGGAATGTCCACCGTCTTTGGTGAATGTGTACTGTTATGTGTAAATAATGGTAATCTGGCCGTTAGAAATATATATTGCTATGTGAAACGTATTACAGCAGTACTGTGTACTGGGAAGACATACCATTATGTGTAAGTAAAATTGTCTGGTTATTTGTAATAACAGATGATGACTAGCTATATTCTATTTTTTAAATAAAGTAAATTAGGCATTAAGAAATCATGCTTTGGCATGTGCATGACCCTTGAGGATTCGTAATAAAATTGGTCTTCAGCTTGTCTTAAAAGGCGATCAACGGGATCGGGTGGTCGAGCTCGCTGACTTGGTTGATGCATGTCATCGTGTCCCATGTAATTTCGTAGATCGATGCTCATGCTGTCTGTCACTGGATCGTTTGATCCAGACTCGATTATTTATAGACCGCCGTCGTAAAGTTTGAATATTGCTAAGAGCGGGTTAAACAACAAACAAACATGTATATAAATCCCTGTAAGCGAATGCTAATAGTAGTCTTCGTAAATGAATGCATACCCTTTCGGTCCAAGCATGAACGCCTACTCTCTGTTATCCTTGTAAATGGCCTGTACCATTAACCCATGCTTGCCGTAAAAGGCGACTATGCTTGTCGTAAGGGGCGACTAACGGAATTCTGTGGTCAGGCTTGCTGACTTGGGTGATGCGTGTCATCCCAAACGCGTGGATGGATGCTCATGATGTCAATCACTGGATTGACTCGATTATTTACAGAGCGCCGTCATGTAGCTGGAATATTGCTGAGTGCGGCGTGAAACAATAAACAAACAAATAAACAAACCATGTGTGTCAGAACAACACGGATGGGTCATCTACGCTGAACATTCCATTGTGAAGTTTGTTTCAAAACAATGTACCTAGAGGTCGTTTTCATACCTCATTAGGGGCGGTCGGGTTTCCTAGTGGGTAAAGCGTTCGCTCGTCACGCCGAAGACCCGGGTTCGATTCCCGACATGGGTACAATGTGTGAAGCCCATTTCTGGTGTCCCCCGCCGTGATATTGCTGGAGTATTGCTAAAAGCGGCGTAAAACCACACTCACTCACTCACTCATATCTCATTATAGGCATTAAGGTCTGTGGATTTTATGGGTCCGAGGTCCCTTGCTGGAATCCTGGCGGAATTGCATCCCAGCGACCGAGAGAATGTCCGAGTGTTGGACTTGGCGGCAGGGACGGGATTGGTCGCGATTGAGGTAGAAACATGTAATATATGCAGGCGTAGACATGTGATATATGTACACAACATGAAGTATATCAACTAGAAACATGCTATTAATCTAGATATACAGGAGTAACATTAGGGATGTTGAATGTCAAGGTGAAGGCAAGTCCTCCTATGCTATATCTTATTATATGTAAATTCAGTCACGTAAACGTTAACCTTTGGTAGTTCAGGGCTCTGCTTTGTGTGAGAATTGGCTCAGGGTATAGCTGAAGGAGGTTATTGCAATTTGCCCCTGTAGGTAACTGGAAAGAGTAATGAAGACTCGTAAACGATTAGTTACGAAAGCCTAATGGTGCATAATTATTTTCTTAATTGAAATTTCTCATTTTAATTTTCTGCAAATTGTTTCTCGAAATTTCGAGGGTTTTTTTGTAACCTCGATTATCTTCTGTTAATTTCGATTACTTTTTCGTTATCTAAAGTTTATATTGAAAACTCGAAATTTCGAAAAGAAATCATCGAAGTAACGAGAAAAAAACTCGAAATTATTACCAATAATTGAAATAACGAGAAATTCAGATTTAAAAGAAATAAAGTTATCATACCAAAGTTGCACTATTAGGTTTTCGTAAGAAATACTAAAAGCTTCCTGATGATATACTACTTACCGTAAAATGTCCCTTAAATGCCCCTTCTCCTCCCGCTATTGAGTAGAACCCCTGAAACAACAAATGGTGGGCCTTTAACTGTCGTAAGGAAAGTATCTTTAACCAGCTAATTACGTTGAAATTTTCTATTGACTTAAGCCGGTAATATAACCTGTTTTAGGTACCAAATTGAAGATTTTTACAATGTCATCAGCAATATTTCAGCTGTGTTACGGCGGGTATAGGGGCTCATGAGCCATGAACCCACGTCGGGAACCCGCTAACCATGGGTCTAATCGACCGACCCTAAATGGTGATAGTTCCTATATATAACGAGCGTTACATATGTAATGTGACCAGTGGACGCTTGTTTCAGCTGAAGAAGAAGGGCTTCGTCAGTACTGATGGGCTGGAGCCGTCAGAGGGGATGCTGGCTGAGGCTAAAAGAAACAACTTATACGGACGCTACATCTGCGACATGGTTGGGGAAAACACCTTTGATATTGAAACTGGTGGGTGCGGTCTCTTGGGGTAGCAATTGCTACCATGCGCGGATAGAACACCCCATAATGCTGGTCAGGTCAGAGTCGGATGAGTTAATAAATGGTTAAACTGCATCAGATTACCCCACCTATTGATGGTGATAAAGACATAGTTGAGGTAGTAGGGGTTAACGTGCTGTAGCAGAATACTATATATATTGCTGATGGTATGGGCTGACCCAATGTATAATTTCTGGTGGTACGGGCGGAAGTGCTAAGCGTTAACGTGCTGAAACGGGATATTCCTTTATTGGTGAGAGTTTGGGAGAATGGTTAACGCGTGATGTATGTGCTGCTTTGTGGGAGAAATATTGCAGATGTTAAGTTAAATATTACCTCACTCACTATGCCTAATGAATTGGTGAATGTAATGGTCAGGACCGAACACAATACTGTATGGCTAATGGCTAATGGCTAATGGTAGCCTAGCAGAAAGGCGTTCGCTCGTCACGCCGAAGTCTCGGATTCGATTCCCCACATGGGTACAATGTGAGAAGCCAATTTCTGGTGTCCCCCGCCGTGATATTGCTGGAATATTGCTAAAAGCGGCGTAAAACCATTCTCACTCACTCATCGCAACACAAGGGTTTGTCAGTGTTGAAATAATACATGGCCACAGAACTAGGGTAGATTACTTCATGTATTTTTGGGTACGAAGGCAAAAATGAACAATGCTCGAATCCTAAATCTAACAATTTCTGTCAATAGAGAAAAAATTCAACAGTAGTCATATCATTTAATTATATTTATGGAAAATCAATCAAACTGTTTTCCGTGTGTTGATGGTTTTGTTTGGAAAGCAAATCTACCGTAGGGTTACGTCGGTGTCACGTTAAGAAATACCCATAATGTCTGGTATCAATTTCGTGCGTTGGGTTCAATGCCAAGACAATCATTATCTTGATTCCATAGTGTCTGAGGTGACCGTATATATTGTAAACAGGCTTTCAAGAGAACACAGAGGGCACGGGTGGCCCAGTTGTCTAAGGCGCCGCGATTCGCTGTGCAGAGTTGCGTCCCTTGGGCACGCCAGAAACCTATGATTGTGGGTTCGAATCCCGGTTCGCCCCGATTAGGTTTCTAGGTTTGTCGGCACCATACCCGTGCTCGTGGGTTTCACCGAAGTGGTAAACGTCTGAGACCTGCATCACTTCGGGCTTTCCTCCCACATTAAGCTGACACGCCGTGATATAACTGGAATACTGTTAAAAGCGGCGTAAAACCCAACTCACTCACTCACCCAAGAGAACACATGAATTGCCTTTGCATGTGGTTGTCATTTTTTAGCGAACATCTGGTAGCATCACTTTTTGACAGTGATTCATTAACTCGTGCTTTTGATACAGTCGGAATCGTACAATAGGCTCTGCTTCAGTAGATGTTTCTTGCTTTTGCATGTGTTTGAGACGGGTGCCACCGGTGGGACAGGATACGCTCACCTTTCACCATGTGAAAGTGACACATCCTCATGATATAGTCGGAATTGTACAGTGGACAGATATTTATTGCGAATATAGAAAAGGGTTTTGTAGCTTATATTCATGATGAAGTATTCCGTGTGAAAACACATGTTTATTTATTTTCTTCCAGATACCTATTCTGCAATTACTATGTCTGCGTTGAGTTTAGAGATTTTCAAGAAACTGCCAGTGAAAGCCCTAGAGGAGATGGCACGTGTCGTGAAGCCAGGTGAGCTACAAAAAACGTTGACCGGGTCGGGGCTCATCAGCCAGGACTTGATGTCCTATATATACTCGGACTACCTAGAAACAGTCTTTCTGGGGATTCCGGAAATGAATTGATATCTAGACCCCTCTGCTTGTCGTAAGAGATGACTGTAGACTGACCCGTGAACATCGGAATACTGATCAAAGCGACCTTCTTCTACGCTCAATCACTCACTTCTAATTTTTTAAATATATTAGGACATTTAGGCAAAAATGAGTTTTGTATTAGAATGTTACTTAAAGTTTAAAGCATCAATTCCCTTGTTCGCAAATTTCATGGTTTTTTTTTCTTGGAGCCTGTTTCTGGTTTGGCCAAACGTTTCAAAGCAGTATCAAGAAGTATACTGTCTACTCGACAATGGGCTCTTACTATTTGTAGATCCGTCCACCAGCATTGGTTTCTTTCAATGATACAGAATAAACTCTTGTTCTTACCGTGTGCAGTCCCAATGGTTCCTGAGGGAGAGGCAGACCCGTGAAGATTCCGGGGTAGATCAGGTCTTCTGCAACCCATGCTTGCTCTTAAAGGCGACTATGCTTGTCGTAAGAGGCGACGAACGGGATCGGGTGGTCAGGCTCACTGACTTGGTTGATGCATACCATCATATCCCAATTGCGTGGATCGATGCTCATGATGTCAATCACTGGATTGTCTGGTGAAGACTCGATTATATACAGACCGCCGTCATATAGCTGGAATATTGCTGGGTGCGGCGTTAAACAATAAACCAAACCAAAACCAAAGACTGTTGACTTCTGTTTGTGTGTCATCATGGCCCGATGGCGTGGGGCGCTGCTCGCGCTCAGTCACAGAATAGCCTGGTCAGATTCGATTATGTACAGGCTACCGTCATATAGCTTGATTATAACTGACCGTTCACAACGTACTCACTCATTCCTCATTCGCACAATACAGACCGCCTCCGTGGTCTAGTGGACAGCCATGTTGAACAGCGGCATGGTATGTCTCAAGCTCCTTCCCAGCGCGTTACACCTGCGTTACACTCTCGGTAACTCGCTGCCACCCGTGTGGGCGCGGCCATTACAAGAATCTTGAAATTTGCCCTCTCACCCCAAATGTAGTAACGTGTATACTTTTGTTTATGTCTTTGGGAATGCCATCATATTTCACTTTGAAAAGGTTTACGACTGACCATGTTTTCCAGGTGAATTTACTTTGTTGTTTTAATAATCAGATTGGTTCGAGATTGCAGACTAACGGAAAATCAACCAACTTCTCCCTTACATTCTCACTATATCAATTAAAGATGATAGTTTTAATGAAATAGAAATTCAAATTGACAAAGAAAGAAAGTAATTTATCAGCGGTAAGTGTATTCGGCGTCACGACAGTCGTCACTTGTTTGTAAACATAACGGTCATTCGGTTGCGAGTTCAACTCCAAGCATGGTTGGGGCCACCTATCATAGTGGGTAGTTTTGACTGGTGGCAGCGATAGTATAGAGAGCTCCGCGAACGGACCATCGCTGTGAGGAGCTTGGGTATGTCTGGTGGTCCCTACCAGCACGCTAGTGACCTTGACCTTTACCTTGACCAATTTGACCCACGAACACATTTCACCAACTATAAACGCTCCTAAATCTGTGACACTCTGTTTGTATTTGGGGATAATAACTAACTCGCGACGGTTATTTGTCTTGTACTAACATCTGGCTAAGTGTCGATCGAGTAATATACGCGTAACTAGGTATAAGAGACGTGTATTATATTTGAAAATTACATTGTGTCTTTTATGTATAGATGACAATATGGGTATGATATTGGTGAAAGCACGCACGCACGTCGCTTATATAAGTGCAATAATCTTGAATGCAATGTTAAAACTTACCTCACTTCACCTAACATTGTCTGGCACGGACTCTGTTTTTTACAAGACGACGTTATTTAGTTTAACTTTAAGACTGCGGCGTTCAACATTGGTTCACTTTCTCGTTGATTGTGTTTCTCTCTCTATAGGAGGTCACATCTTGATGACGCAGTATGACTTCGCCTTCGACAGCGAGGTTCTCAAGGCCAGTTTAAGTAACCTAGAAGATCGGGGCGTATGGAAGTTGATTGAAATGAGGCCAGTTCCTGACTTTACTAAGGGCAAAGACGGTCTTGTGTCGGTTCATCAAGTATTGAAGTGACAACAGGTTAAGTCAAAACAACACTCAGTAATGCATTACTCAATACTGTATTAAGTCTTAGCAACAGAAACTATGATGTGTTGATGTGTTGAACTGGAATAAACGGAGTAAAGTCAAAGTGGTATTTGTGAATTGTTGAACAGTTTCAGCAACATGATGTTGAAGAGAAACATCAAGTATACTTTCTGACTTACACCTGTACGAATAACATCAGTTTTGGTTCGATCCCCGGCCGCGTCATACCAAAAGACGTTAAAAGATGGTATTTGTTGTTACCCTGTCTGGTGCTCGGCAGTAAAGGTCTAAAACAAGAACTGGTCGGCTCGGAGTCAGTATACTGTGTCTGAGTGGGGTATTCATGTTAAACTTCGGCATGGTATCTCAGTGGGCAAGCTCTATCAATGGGCATCAGTCCGGACACACGGACGCGCACACACACACACGCACGCACGCACGCACACACACACACACGTAGCTTTATAAGTGCAATAACCTTGGACGCGACGTTAAACCCCATTTCACCTCATCTCACATCCGTTTCCCCCCTGACGAATATCTTATAATTATTGTTTATATATCTGCAATTGTGCCTTGATACATTTATTTTTCAAAAAAGGCGCAAATCGATAAAATTGTTCATGTCAGGAGATGTCACACTTTGCCTACATATAGTCGGGGGAAGGGCGGCCCTGTGATCTCTGTAGAGCTGCGTACAGGTTCCGATCAACCTGGGTTCGAATCCAAGATTAGTCCCGATTATGATCTGTTGTCTGTCTGCACTATACCCTTGCTCGTTTGTTTCTGCGGTCTGGTAAACCTGCATCACTCCGGGATTTACTGTCACACTGAACAGTCACGCAGTGATACAATAACTGAAATACGCTAGAAATCGACGTCAAACCCAATTTACTCCCTGATACAAGACCCGTGAAGATCCGGGTTAGAATTGGTCTTCAACAACCCATGCTTGTCGCAACAGGCGGCTCACGGGATCGGGAGGCCAGCTTCGCTGACTTGGTTGATGCATGTCATCGTACCCAAATTGCGTAGACGATGCTCATGTCCTCATTCACTGGATTGTCCCCATACTTGCCGTAAAAGGCGACTATGCTTGCCGTAAAAGTTGACTAACGGGATCGGGTGGTCAGGCTCGCTGACTTGGTTGATACATGTCATCGATCCCAATTGCTTCGATCGATGCTCATGTGGTCAATCACTGGATTGTCTGGTCCAGACTCGATTATTTTACAGACCGCCGTCATATAGCTGGAAAATTGCTGAGTGCGACGTTAAACAACAAACAAACAAAACAAACACTGGATTGTCTGGTCCAGACTCGATTATTTACAGACCGCCGTCATATAGCTGGAAAATTGCTGAGTGCGGCGTTAAACAACAAACAAACAAACAAACTGACGCATAAACGAGAATACTAAGGTTCCAGGCCGCTGATAGCAATAACAGCAACAGCACCAAGCTGATAATGGGTTCACTGTACTGAGAAGTACATACATACACTGTGACACAGACACGCCGACCTGTCCCCCTCATGGGTGTAGTGTTTCTGTTTCACACCGTACAACATGCATACACACGACACAAGCGTCAGACTCGGTAAAACCTACCTCACTTTGGGCCTTTCTCACACATTATTAGGGGCAGTACCGTTGTTCCCCCTCCGTTTAAGATGTAAACTTGTATACATAACATGATAGTTTCGTAAACAATTTTTTCCAGTGATGGGAATAAAAATAACAAACGATATTGTTAGGTACGGGGTATTCCTTGCCGTGGGCCGTATTGGCTCTCTTAGACTAATCCCAATTAGAATTCATCGTTCTCATTTGGAGCCAAACGGTTGGTTGGTTGTTGTTGTTTAACGCCGCACTCAGCAATATTCAACCTATATGACGGCGGTCTGTAAATAATCGAGTCTGGACCAGACAATCCAGTGATTGACAACATGAGCATCGATCCACGCAATTGGGATCGATGACATGCATCAACCAAGTCAGCGAGCCTGACCACCCAATCCCGTAAGTCGCCTTTTACGACAAGCATAGTCGCCTTTTATGGCAAGTATGGGTTGCTGAAGACCTATTCTACCCCGGATCTTCACGGGTTGGAGCCAAACGGACTGTACGGGCTGTACGACTCTATCCGTCGAAATCATCGCATGTCTCTTGCTTCAATTAGGTGAAACATTTCAATGGAAGGGACTTTGTATGGCAGTACTTCTCAAGGGGTATGCAATATCGGACGTCTAGACATTCCAGACTGTTCTTTTGTTCAATTTTCAATTTTGAATCGAGAAGTTTCAAATTGACAAAATTCTCTTCAAACCGAAGTCGCCAATTTCGCCCGCAATACCCTATGTGAAGCTTTTCGAGGTTGAATGATTGGAAAACACTGTTACTTTCCTGATATGGCAAGCGACGCTCTAGTCAGTGACCCCTAATGGGATGTCCTTAGATCTTTGTTGAGCGACTGCGAGAACTAAGATCTTATTTTCATACGATTGTTACTATACTAATAAAAGACATAAAACAATGAATGATAACCGAGTTCTAACCGAATATCGTCATCATCACCTCACTTGACCTCGAAACACATTCCTGGATCAGTAGGACGAAGGAAGTTTACAGGACCAACTGACCGTGACTTTGACCTTGACTTTCACGTTTGCTACAAGTATCACATGACATGTTTCTCCATTACCTGGGCAACTCGTGTCACTATGTGGAGATGATTTGTCACTGTAGGTTTCTACATTTGTCACCCCCAGGCTTAACTAAGAGCTGATGACACGGTGCGTCATCTTTCTACTTCTTCTGGACCGCCTCCGTGGTCAAGTGGTACAGCGTCCGCCCGGTGAGCGGCCGCGTCATACCAAAAGACGTACTTGTTACCCTGCTCTGCATTAAGGGGATAAAACAAGGACTGGTCGGCTCGGCGTCAGTATACTGTGTCTGAGTGCGGTGTTCATGTAAAGCTGCATCATGGTATCTCAGTGGGTTAGCACTATAAATCAGCATCAGTCCGGACTAGTACAAGCAGCCACGCACGCACACACACACACACGTCGCTATATACGTGCAATAATCTTGGAAGCGACGTTAAGCCCCATTTCGCCTTCTTCTTCTACCTTGCTGACGGGAAGAAGGGGAATGTTTTGGAGGATTTCCAGCAACATATGTCCAAGACCTGTTCGTTAAAATCAATATAATTTCATTTCATAAATACAAATCGAAATTGTGTACAATCCTAAATAACCCTTAGTTAGACTGCTGAATCAATTTGAAGAACGTAGTGAAGTTAATTAAAGTCCCCTCTCTTTCCGAAGTTGGGAAGTTACTTTTGCATACACCTGTGTAGTTTTTTTTCTAAATCCTTTATAAATTTTACAAATTGAAATATATGCTAAACATTTGCCTATTTTTAAAACTGTTGTTGCTTTTGCTTCCATTCACGCAAATCGTTATATCATCCACACTCATTCTTCTTGAAACGTTTAAAATCAGGCACAAAATGTCAGAAATTCCACGATCTAATTTGCACATATTTATTCCAGACAAATACGACGGGAATTTTACATTCAAAAGTGACAGTAAATTGTGTTTATCTGCATTTGGGGCAAGGGATAATCAAATATACCACATAACAGAAAGAACGGATATGTCAAATCAAATAAATGCATCAATCATAAATCACTCTATCTAAACATGTCAGTTTATCAAAATAAGTTATTGCCCCTGCTGAATTTGGGTATGCCATATGTCAGCTCCCTGCATGACAGTCGCCACACGCCGTCTCAGTGTCAGGAGAAATCAATATTACTCGACGAAACAAGGTTTGGAAAGGTCGCATGATAAGTAGTACAATGGTCAGATTGGTGCATGAAAGTAAAACAATAAAATGATCATCTTTGAAAATATTTAAAAATCCACAAGGCCTAGACAACTGAAACATGATCAGTGTATACAGGGCCGTAATGTGGTTGTAAATGCAATGAAATGAAAAGCAATTATTTGAATTCTTCAGAATTGAACAAAAAAGTATATAAATTGCATTATCTCCTCAGAAACGTCAAAGTTGTTTTAGATTGTTTCGTTTCTTTGTTATTTAACGCCGCACTCAGCAATATTCTAGTCATATGACGGCGGTCTGTACATAATCGAGTCTGGACCATACAATCCAGTGACTGACATCATGAGCATCGATCCACGCGATTGGAATACTATGACATGCATCAACCAAGTCAGCGAGGCCTGACCATCCGATCCCGTAGTTGCCTCTTACGACAAGCATTGTCGCCTTTTACGGCAAGAATGAGTTGCTGAAGACCTATTCGAGCCCGAATCTTCACGGGTCGTGTGTATTGTGATTCCATTCACCCAGGCTTCTAATTCATGACCCATTCGTGACCAACTCGTGTTATTCCGGGATAGGCCGAATAGCTTCTTGCAGGTTACGGAAAGTGGCGAGTGGTGACGAATGATTCATGACCGACGTTATTTTTACATCCTGCCAGCATCGTCACCACGTCAGCCAATCAAAATACATAAAATTAGTCATGTAGCGAATGGTATTTGCATCACAATAATGATTCCATAAAGTCAGTTTAAAGTGGTGGGCGTCTGGAGAATAAATGAATTTAATAGCCTTTCCAGGCTATTGTACGATTCCGACTATATCATAAGCATTTGTTTATGAAGCGTTATCAACTAGTGATGATACAGGGTTTTTTCGAAAAGGTGAGCGAATCCTGCCCCACCCGTGGCTCCTGCAACAAACGTAATGTAATTATAAGTAAAGTGTTTATCTGTTATTCCTGACATCATGTTGGTCACTGGCGTGTCAAATTTGGAAATGTCCTCCACATGTGTACCATAAAGTGAGTGAGTGAGTTTGGTTTAACGCCGCTTTTAACAGTATTCCAGTTATATCACGGCGTGTCAGCTTATTGTGGGAGGAAAGCCCGAAGTGATGCAGGTCTCATGACGTTTACCAGTTCGGTGAAACCCACGAGCACGGGTATGGTGCTGACAAACCTAGAAACATAATCGGGGCGAACCGGGATTCGAACCCACAATCATAGGTTTCTGGCGTGCCGAAGGG